TGATTGAATTTTTTCTTCGCCTTTTATATCCTTATAATATGATGTTTATTGAATATGAATATTTAAAATATATTTGAAAATTAAAAAAAATATTTGAATATTTAAGAAAATATATGCAAATAAATTTCTTTCTCTTCAGCAATGATAATAATTTTTCTGCTGCAAAATTAGAATATTTAAAAGGAAAAATATTTTGAATCCGATTACTGTTAATTAGTCAAATTTCATCATTCTTCCTTTTTTTTTGCTCTCTCTCTCTCTCTCTCTCTCTCTCTCTCTCTCTACATCTCTCTTGAAAACTTGAACTATTGAGAGTCAAAGGACAAAATAAGATTATAACAAGAGAAAATTTTGTCTACTGATTGAGCATTTTGATCAGTACACATTATAATGTTAGTCACAATATAAAACATAAATTATCGATAACATATGTTGAAATAGCCAGCCGTTTCTTTAAGATGCGATTAACTTAACGTCTCTTTCGAAATCAGTCACAGAAATCGGTATCAGTTGTAAAAATCATTTTTTTCATTTCTGTATAAAGTTCACGAAAAAGTTACAATTATCAGTTTACAATTACCAAAAACTATTTCATTTCTTTTCCGCCTTTCACTTCCTTCATCACCACTACTCATCATCATCTAATACTGTTTTAAAAATATTCATACGATGTGCAGTAGTTTCTATAGTTCATGAAATTCAACTACATATTTTCAGTTTGTAATCCCATTATTGTCAGGATTACGGGGAATGATCGATCACTTAATAATAGTTGCATTAATGCATAAGCTTGATACAACTATATATATATATATATATATTGCATCTCAGATGTTGTGTGCGGTTTTTAAATTTCTTGTAAGAGAAAATGCAATTAAGGACAAAGAAAAACAAAGGAAACAAAATGAAATAGCCTTGTATGAGCACGCAATAAGTCAATCATTACAGGTAGTCTATCATTGAAACTGGCTGGAAATTAATTTCCGGAAGGAAAAAAATTACAAGTGTCGGGAGGGCGTGGTTATCCGGGTAACAATTCTCGTTGTAACGAAAATACGTAAATGCGTGTATACATATACATACATACATACATACCTATACATACATACACATATACACATACATTCATATATACGGACACACACACACGCATACATACACACATACACACGCACATACGTCTTGTCTGCATTCCGTTGTCCATTGCCAGGAAAGCGGCCATCATTAGCATCCGGGACGAAACAAATACTGTTGTTCCGGAAAATACGAGCTGATCGATCTGCAACTATACGATTTATTCAGATTACAACTCGCCAATATGTTACCGCCTTCTGCAAAGGGCACAAATAAAGATGATAACGGCGGTGTTGATGGCGGTAGTGGAGCAGTATCGCCGAGAAAACCATCGACTTTTACTGTTACTATTGATGATGGCAGCAGATATATACCTTCCGCAAGTATTGACTTAAATAAAACAATTCCAACTTCTATTATTAGTACTAATTCGTTCTCGTTTTCCGTGGATTTCTATGTTGCGGCAGAAAAATGCGCAACAATGGTGCTGTCTGCAATATTCGAGAGTATGTCACTGAACCCCGATAACATCCATTCGCAATCCGTTGTAGTACCGAAATCAGATTTTGTTACGGTACCCAAGAAATTGTTAAATGGTGCGAAATTGGATGCTTCAAATGCATCTAAGCATTATTCTCATTCATTGAGCAGGTCAGATTTGCTGGAATTGAAGCAAAGTATTGTGAAATCAGATTTCAAACCGGTGCAGGATCCATTATCTGCCGCATCAAAACTAAGGAAAAACTGTTCCGTTGATTTCCATCCATGGCATAATCCCATATTTGAAATTAGTAGTTTGGATTCTTCACGATATGTTTGCGAAAATGTTGTCGATGGTGATGAAATTGACAGTTCCCGGCCTTTCGTACTTTTTCCATCCATTAGGTATGCATTCTTCACTATCTGTGCATTTGTTATTTATATCGCAGAAAACGGGAGATGTGTTGCTGAGATAGTTTGCAATGTTTTACTGCAGAACCATGAAATTTATTTCTAATCTTTCATTTAAATTCTGTCTTGATATGACAAATTTAATTAAATGTTCGGTTTAAATTTAACTCGTGTGAACTTCTGTCTACTACTTTCTTTCCATTGTCCTTTGCCCTGCAATATAAACTCTATTGGAACAGTTGCTTTAATTTCGGCTAATGCCGTTGCATGTTAGATTTCTTCTGTGACGTGTAAAAGCATCAGTGAATATTGTATTTCATCTTGCCTCGCATGTAAACATCCTTTTCAAAAATATGCTTTAATTTTATTACCATTCGAACAGGTCGTTAGTCGACAGTACTATACTTTAGTTTGATGAAGCAGTGATCACAACATATTTTACGTCTCCTTTTAATTTCCATTCCGCTTTTCGTCCTACATCACCCATCGGTTCCGCTAATATCACATTGTTTTGTATTTAAATTCATCGTTTATTTCTTCAATGCATAGAAAATTTTACTGTATGTTTTTAAATTTCATTTTTGGTAATAGTGAAGAAAAACTGCCTTAGCGATATTTCCTTCTTTTTAAAATGAATACATTTAAATTATGATATTTATTCATTCTAAAAGTGTCCTGAAGGTGTTAAAGGGAGAAAAACAATTAAAGGAAAATTATTGGATTATGATAGATCAGAAATTTTCACATTCACATTTCATGAAGGGAGAAAATAAAAATGAACGAACGAACGTAACTAACGTATCTTTTATATCTTTCCGTAATGTACCTTTCCTTTTCTGAGAAATATTTTAATCGATAAAACTTTATGTTATAAATCAATGATTACTATTTTCTTTTATTTAGAATCAGTCATATTATATTAATATTAATACGAAATAAATTAAACTTAAATATTAGATACATAGAATAATTCCGAAATAAAAATGAGGAAGAAGTATGGAAATTTCTGAAAATTAGAAATTAATATAACTTAGTGTAATATAGTTAAAATAATCAACGAATGTATTATCATTTATCATTTATAATTTATAATTTCAAGCGTAACATACTGTTCCTTGAATTTGTTGTAGCCATGAAAATATCTCTTTTAATTTACATTAAAAAATATCCTGAGATTTTATTCATTTCATATAATATTATAATTTGATTTTAATTCCATTAAAATCATTATGAAAAAAGTGAAAAATATGAGGAAGTGAAGTAGTATATTATGTAATATGATTCAATAACATTAACCGGAAATATAGCATTCATCATGAAGTAGTACATTATGTAATATGATTCAATAACATTAACCGGAAATATCGTAATGAGACAAGTACAAAAATGAAATGATAAAAGAATAATTGTATAAATTAAGCAATTTTAATTTTGACAATTCAAAGCAATTGTTTCTATTTATGTATAATTAAAATTTTGAACACTTTAAAAAAAAAATCTTTATTTTGTAACCATTCCAAGTAATGTATCAAAAAAAAGGCTTGCATAGCTTCTCCACAAAAACGATTATCATATTGAACGATTTTTCATTTAAGAAGTTTATTTTTAGTTAATCTTAAGCATAACTGTTTCTTCCGAGAATGAATTATTGCAGAATTAAATTTCAGGTTATTGGTAGCTGCTCTCTTATGCTGTTGTTTCATTGCACTTTCAGTAAGTACATCAAACATGGCTGTAGCACTGATCTGCATGACTTCCTGTAGCGTAAATGGTTATAAAGGTGATCTACAATGGCGAAGTGAACAGGTAATAAATTCAAGTCATCAAAATTTTTTATCATTCTTTTACAATGGAAATGAATACATGGATGTTCATAATAATGATATCATTTTTAAATGAAAGTTTTTTTAAGGGAAAAGCGAACATTCATATCATTATTACTCATTCATTCGTTTTAACTACACATAGAACTTTTTCTGATTTTTTTCCTCCATTTATACAACGAAAGAAAAATTGAAATTTTTTTAAAAAACATTTTTAAAATTTTAGGAAGGTGTAATATTAGCGGCGCAAAATGTTGGTTCACTTCTGATGGTGATAACAGGCGTATGGGCTGATCGAATAAATGGTAAATGGATGATTGGTGGAGGTTTATTGTTGTGTACGATTGCTAATGTAGTCCTACCAATAATGGCACACGAAAGTGTATGGTATGCAGTTGGTGCACGATTAGCAATTGGTGCAGTGGATGCGTGCCTTACACCTGCTACCTGTTCTTTAATAACACGATGGTTCCCACAAGGTGAACGGGCAGCTGCGCTAGGTATTGTTACAAGCGGCCGACAGATTGGTATGTGATTTATGCGAAGTAACTTACACTTACGTGTCTGATTTACACGATTATAACGTAAATTTTCAAATTTGAAATAAACTCCATTCATCATTTTTGTCGATGAATGCTTCATATGAGGTATGTTTGATATTCTCGATGATAATCCTCAACAAAATTTGATTTTATACGTTATTTCTGAGATATTCGGATTGTTTGTTCAAACAATTTGTAAGTGCTTATTAAATTAGACAACGAACTTAAATGAACCGGAATAAAATTAAATTTGATTAAATTAAACTGAAATACATTTAAAAAAATGAGGCGAAGCGATAGTTGGGAATAGTTTGAGAAAAAAATGCGGAAATTATTCATTAAGATCGTTTATTTCTGCAATAGAATATCTGTTTTCTTTTTTCATGCTTAACAAAAAAAACTTTTAGTAGGCTGTAGTAGATAACTTCATTTTTAGGTACACTGTTTATTTTACCAACAGCAGGTTACTTATGTACACGTAAAGATATCATGAATGGTTGGCCTGCTATATTCTATCTTAGTGGACTGATTTCTATGTTAGTTGCATTATTTTGGATTCCAATGGGAGCTGATAAACCTTCCAAACAGTACTGCATATCACGTCAAGAACAGATGCATATCGAAAGCAGGTGTTGGTTTTACGATCTTTAATTTTAGCCTTTATTGTAAGTGTATTGCGTCAGGATTTCCACAGATAACTTAGCTTTCATTTCCATGCAAAGTTTTCTTTGATCTTTTCCATATCCTAAACTGGATCGAGTTGAAGCAGTTTTTTGTCATTATAATTATCGGTCTTTTAAATCTATTACTCAGGTTAGTGATGTGTTAGATCATCAATAAAAAGTAGCAGTCTTTAATCTTGATTGAGCTCACTGATAATCAATCTGTTTTAGCATATTGCGGAATAAACCTATTTGTTGATATTTTTCCTATCTAACGATAAAATAACCAAGACATATTTTATAGAGCATAAAGAGTAACTATTTAATGAAATCTTAATTTCTGAGAAATGTTTGTTTTCAAATGAATTTCAGAATAGCATGCGAGTCAATTGGTAAGCGTACCGCTCCACGTCATACGCCGTGGTCTGCAATTGCTCGATCGTCGGCAGTATGGGCAGGGATCTTTGCACTTGTATGCCATGAATATCCACTTGTCATCATGCTGCAATTTTTGCCTAATTATATGCGCGATGTATTGCATTTTGCGCCTGCTAAGAATGGAATTGTCTCTGCATTTCCAATAGTTTGCCTATTTATAAGCAAAGCTTTCTCATCCAGTTTTTCAACTTGGCTAGTAAAACACACCAGTTGGACTAAAACAACTATTTGTAAGGTGTCTTTTAGTGAAAAATTCAAAACACAAAAGAAAAATGAGGTTTTACTTATAATAACCAATTGGCTTAGGAATCAAATAGAAATATGGCTATACAAGAGTATTTTGCATTATCACTGGTCAAATTTGAAATTCTCCAACATGACCCAAAAATTTTGGAGCAAATACGAACCTAAAATATTTGTTCTTCCAAGTAGCTTAATTCGCTTCTCATAATTTCTTCCTGCTTCATCCTGAAAATATCGAGTTTTTGTTTGAAAAGAAAAAGAAAGTTAATTATTATATTACGATATCAGGATCAATAAGCAGTACCATATAAAGAAGATAAAAATTTCCAGATATTCAATGGTATTGCATCAGCAGGATTATCACTGTGTATTATTACGGTACCACAATTTGACCGAGAACGATCTTCTTTGGCAACAATTCCTTTATGTTGCGCGATGCTTTTTGCAGGTTAAAATATTTTAATTATCATTTCACAACTTGATATTTAAATCTAAAGTCAAATCCTTAACTTCACATTTTATATGTTCTGAATGGATTTGCTTAAATCAGTACTTCTGACAGTGGTAAACAAACGGTCAATAAGATTTTGATTAGTATTCAATTCTCATTGCTAATCTAAAATAATTGGCAGAGTATTACAAGAATAATTCTTCAGAAACCGTTGAAATTAAAAAAATGCTTTGATGACCGATATTCCAACTGTTAATTCAAAAACATTCATAAAGATTTAAGTTTTTACATACAGGCAATTTATTCTGGAATGAAATAATAGTACTACTTACTATTTTAAACTTTCTGTGGGCTGAAGTGTCACACAATAAGTGATCCAATCTCTCTCCTAGATAAATCAAATGAAATTCTTGAACATTTGAGCTAATTTTTTAATTATTTTTAGTCATTTGTTAGCTTAATGTCAGCCAATTTATTTTTTAGTGTCAAGTGATATCGAATCAGCAAATTTCTCACTTGTTAATCGTAAATTTTGGAATTAATTTCCATTTTTTATTTTTGCAAAAAAAACTATATAGAACCTAACATCTGATTTCTTCCTCGAATGATGAATATAGAGTGTTTGATATGATATTCATCCGAAAGTAACTAATTGTTTATTATTAATAATAGGGTTACGTTATTTTAGGTTTGCACACTCCGGGCGTACAAACAGCTTTGGTGCAACTTGCACCACCATATTCAGGTGTCATCACAGGTATTTCGTTTTTTTTTGTTGCATGGTTTGGCATTGGTAACAAACTTCTCACGAAACATATCGTACAGCACGGTACAGCAGCTGAATGGGCCAAGGTATATTTTTGATTAACTGTGAAGAACCATATTTTTGAAACATTAGTCATCAGAATTTGACAATGTAAAAGTAGTAAAAGATGGCATTAAAATGGATACTGCATGCTCCACTCTTTACAAAATTTCCAATTTTAGGTATTTTATGTGTCCGGTGTAGTGGCAGCTTTACCGGTAGTAGTATTTACAGTGTGGGGATCCAGTGAGCGCCAATGGTGGTCAGCGCCAAGTTCAAAAACCTCAACACACAGCTTGAATACACAAGCTACAGTGGTTTCCAACTTAAGCTAATTATCTGGAACATCTAAAGAAATCAGAATCAAAAAAACGTAATATAATAACGAAAAAATCGGATTAGCTCTCGGGAAAAATGAAAGAAATGTTTGAGAGGCAGGATTAAAATTAAAACAGTGATAATACTATTGTGACTTAATGTATGAATTATAAAGCGATTTGTTTTATTTTAATTATATTCCTCACTAATAAATTATCTCAATTAACCTTGCAAAGTATAAATTAATAGAAAATTAATGAAGAAAAACCATTAATGCAATCAGCAAAAGAATAGAATGGAAAAAATGTAAAGAAGTGAATGAATGGTGACATCCTTATAAGATAATTAATGAGGAAATGAAGTATCACTTGATGCATAACATACAAAAGGGTAATTGAGTATCAACAATAAATAATGAGGTCACAATATATGAACACATATTTTGACTGTGTCAGTCGTTCAATGAATTGGAATAAATGGAAGTTATTGAAGTAGTTATTGTCGGCTAAAAGAACAATTTCTTTAGCAAATCAGTGAATTGTTGAGAAAAACAATGAGGAAGAGAAGAAGGAGGAGAAGAAATGACTTTATATTATATTCTCTTTGCCACCTTTTAGATGGTATTATGATACAATATCCCAAATGACCTATTAAAGCAACGTGATTAATGGTTTAGAGTAACAATTATTTGATGATAACAAAACAAACATCTTCACGACGGCGATAATGGAAAGAATTTTACTACCTTTCACTTCATCCATTCAACAACACCTTCTTTACCTATGAATTCCCGGCCTTGTTTACAATTTATATATATTATATATATAATATGTTTATATCTAGTACGTATGTTCGTATGTTATGTGTGTATACATATGTGTGTATGTATGTATGTATGTATGTATGTATGTGTGTATGTTTATGACACAATTGTTGTAATATAATAGTAGCAAAAATGAATTCGTAAAAGATGCGATTTTACTTGAAATGATGCGATTTTACTTTTAATTCAATAAATCTTACCTGATCTTTGCTACCTTATCCTTCCACTATTTTCGGCTTTGTCATTTTGAACAATATGATAATGCTTCGACACATGTCTCACCTACAGTTTTAAAGTTTAATCGTTCCTATTTTACCTTCACACCTTCCATGTAGTATAATTGCATTACATATATATATATATATATATACGCTCAGTGAATCTTATCTGACCTTTGCTACCGCCTATGTATATATATATTTGTAATAGCATATTTGTGTTTACCATAGGGAGATAGGAAGTAGGAAGGTGACTTTTTATCTTTGCGTCATCTTGACCTTTTCCGTGTCCCATCTTTCCTCTTTCTTGCTTTTGAATTCTTATATTTTGCCATCCTTATCCAATCAAACATCTCCGATATGTATGAATTTACACTATCTGATTAATCAGATTAATTATTGATTCCTTAATTTAGTTCTAGCTTCCTTTCATCCTTATTACGCTATTTTCTTCTTAATTCCGACAATCAATGTCCTCTTCCACAGTGCACGTACAGCCAAATATGCTGCCCATATAAAATTCTTTGTAAAATAACTGTACGATTAATGAAAGACAGAATGTCTGTTACCTGTTCCCTGTCAATTGGGAGGATTAATTTCACGACTATAGAAACTTTTAATTAATAACAATTGCAGTATTACGTCTCAGGTGCGTTAAATCCGAGAATTTCCGATGCGACGACATCGATAGTAATAGAGTCCTTTGGGTGATATAAGACGCTGCTTTCTTTTAAATGGGTTTTGAAGTGTTCGCGTGGAAATCTTGGCATCATTTCAATAGCTTCTTTCAGTCGATGAATATTGTTGTTTGTGGATAGGGGATTTCGAGTTATCCATTTCGTTCAGGGAGGGCATCTCTATTCCTTCTGCTAAATCGGTTAGCTGTTCGATTTGTTTGGGATGCGGTTCAAAAGGTTCTGAAGCGTCTTGGATTTCGGGGTGAATATAGCATGCGTTGGTGGGTGTTTTTGTTAGCTTCATATGATATCGAGTCTTCCGCGTCATTTCCGACTTCGAGGACTTCGTAATCGGTGATCATTAATTAAGGTTTACCACTCTCAGTCATATTTACCACCAATAGTTCCATAGGCTGTCGACAACTAATGAACAAATATGTTTATACTGTCGCTTATGTGATTTGTACTGTAAAATGAATACTCGCTGATAGCTTAAGAAATGGCTGGATTATAATGAAATAACTTGTCACATAGCATTATACACATGTTGCAGGATGTTAGGGCCCTTTTCCATTTTGGTGATCCTAACATGCTATACTCTTATTTTTTCCTTTTTATTGTACTTTGGCTGATTAATATGAGTACTAATATGGGTATTAATATGGTGAACAAGTGGTCTTTGGTGCAAGATTTCTATATAGATAAGGTATGGATGGTATTAAACTTCCTATTCAATTATTTTGTTTCCTCTCCAATCATGCAAATTTATACGAATTCGCTTTTTGAAACCATAAAACCGTGCTCCTGCACTTTTTACATCAAAATTCATCAATTCTGATGTTTGCACGATTCCATTATTTTAGAATTTAGTCACCAATATCTTTCCCGGTAAAGTGTAAACTGTGTTCAAAGATTATAGTTTTGTTAAAAGAGCTCATATACAGATGATAACCCGAGTTCAACGTTATAAATCTGTTACCATGTTAAATGTGAATTAGGATCCAGTTCTCAAGTGAAATGAATTGCATTATCGCGATGTGAGTGTTGAGTTTATTGTTCCCTTAGTATTTATTTTCAGATACATCTTTTGCTGTTTCGAACAGTTATGACATTACCGGAAGAAGTTGCTAAAACTGTTGAGCTTTTTTATATTGAGGTTTGTTTATTTATTTAGATGTGATACTTCAAGAAAATACATACATACCGATAGCATGAATTTCTCTCGGTTTTCATCAACGTTTTTATGGTTTCACTTTTTTGTTGATTCTCCATCTGTATTTCTGTTAGCATTGAACGCAACTTTTTTTCTTGTCTTGCGTATCCGGCTGCATCGCAGATTAGCTGTCAACAATATATTGAGGAATGGATAGGTAGCATCTGTATAGGTTGTAGGATGATTAGAAACAGATGGCATTTGTAACGTGACAAGAAGCAAGATGCACTATTCCGCTTACTGTTTACTGGAAGGCAGCCATAAAGATGGGACGACCATTTAACTTCCTATTCCTAATGGGTGCTACTGTCATTCAAGTTGTAAATTTAACGGTCGCTGATGCTTAACATATATTTCTATAGTCTTTTCTGTAATTAGGCCCATTTTCCATCACAGTCTCTATCTCTTTTTGTGTGAGATCTTCCAAGTTATTCAATCTGGCGCATCTTTCATTAAAGATGTAAATGCGTATTAAACACTACCATGCATCATGCGGTTAATCTTTCGACGGTTTCCTTTCATCGGGCTCAAATCATTAACGATTTGATCTTATTGCCTGTTATACTGCTAGTAACTTTTGGGTTTACGTCATCCTTTTTTGTAATGCTTGGTACCGTCTGATTGTAATGCTTTTGATATAGGAGTGAGTTTTTAAGGGAGACTTGGTTTAAATAACACAAATTTGTTCTTTTGAAGTTATCGTCGACTATCTTATCATGCACATTTATATCAGGATAGTGAGAGGATAATTATCGACTTGAAAGAAATATTTCTCTTCCTTGGTATCTTCATCAGCAGTACTTTCTTTCAAAGCTCAACTGGACTGTTTTTTTCAAATTAATTTTGTGGGAGGAGAAAAAATGCCAGCAAGTTTTATTGATTACTTATATTAAGTATTTTATTTCCAGAATGGAATACTGCATGAAATTAGTGAAAAAATAGAGGATGAAATTGTTCGAGGTCTTGAATTTGGTGCTTCGAAATCATCGATTGCAATGTTACTCTCTTTCATTCCAGCTTTACCAGATGGAAATGGTTGGTTGATAATACTGTAAGATGATATATTAAAAAACTTTTCCAAACATTTTTTTGAAATTTCAGAGGTAGGTAAATATATTGCAATTGATTTGAGTGGGAGGAATCTACGTATTATGTTGCTAACGTTAAAAGGAAGCAATCAGGAACCAGAGCAGATTAATCACAATTACGTTTTCCCAGCTTCTGTTATGAAAGGAACTGGAGATCAGGTTAGATATTTTTGTTTTTAAGATTTTGTGCTGTTTTTTTTTTTAGATTCTCAAACACATAGCTCTTATACTACACTTGCTAGCAGATTTCTTTAAATTGTATTTTAAACCACATATCTTATTGTTCTAGCTGTTCACATTCATAGTCAACTGTCTGATGAAATTTCTCAACGAAATGAATCTGCTAAATGCTTCACTACCAGTGGGTTTTGTTTTCTCCTATCCATGCGAGCTGCTTTCGATACGCTCAGCGCGGTTACTGTGGTGGACAAAAGGCTTTGATATAAAAGACTGTCTGCAAAAAGATGTAGTTAAACTTCTGGAAGAAGCCCTCGAATTAAACATGGTTTGTCTGTTCTAAAACTATGTTTGATCTTTTAATTATCCATTTCTCGGTGTAGTGCAGAAAGTAATTTCTTTTATTGGAAAGTATCGAAATTCACTTTCATGTGTTGTTTCAGTTAACAAATGTGAAAATTGAAGTGGTGATGAATGATACCGTCGGCCAGTTAGCTGCGACAGCTTACAAATACGGTCAAGAGTGCATTGTCGGTGTCGTCATTGGATACGGGTATTTTTTTGTTTTATTTTCACCTATTTTACTGTGAAGCATTGAGAAGTTATTGATAATAAATAGTGTATAGGATTGCCTTCTTTGTTAACACAGGAATGAATTACAAGTGATTTTTCATGTTTAATTTGTTCGTACCCTTAAAACAGGAATGGAGGTAAAAAAAAGCTGAATTGCGTACATTTTTTAGTTTTCAGCTGTAATTCATCATATTTGGAAAACACTGCAAGGATCAAGAAATTTGATGCTGCTGCTTCTGGATATAAATATGACAAGATGGTGGTTGTTACTGAGTGGGAAGAATTTGGTGAAAAGGTAGTTTAAGACCTTAAATTTTTGTCTTTGAAAATCTATATAGTTTTTTGTAATATTTGTGCTCTGAACAATAACGCTCGATTATCGTTTGAAGAATGATATAACACGAGGTGCTAAAACTTATTTAATATTTTAATGCGTTTTTCTGTTCACTTTTCAAGGCACTGAAAAGTTTTCTTATATTCATAATAATGATTGGAGCAATTAAAACGAGAAATTGAACATTACAGGGTGAATTAGCTTCTATTTTAACGCAGTTCGATCGCGATATTGATGAAGCATCGGTTCATAAAGGCAAACAAATGCAAGCTTTGTTATTGTGAAATAAACAACATAGGTCTTAAGTTACCTTAAGTAGTGTAAATGCGACTTTAAACATTAAAGCATTGAAGAGCATAAAGATCCAATCAGTAATTGAGCTTGTAAACTTTCATGGTTTATTTGTATTTCTGAAAGATTGCAGAATAAAAAGTGGTGAAATTTAGTTATGTGCTATTTATTTACAGGATTGATAAGCTGACTGGAGCATTATACTTAGGCGAGCTGGTACGTCGTATCCTCATGCAGTTTATATTAGATGGGCATTTGTTCAATGGAAAATGTTGTGAAAAACTGGATGAAGTGGATTCTTTCCCAACAAAATACATTTCAGAAATTTTGAGGTAATTTTTTTGCAAATATGTTTCTTGTTGTTCTGCTATGAAGCAAAAATCTGGGATGTTTTTTTAGCTCACAGAAGAATGCAGAATTTTTTGTATTCTGGTTCTGACATTATTGAAGTCTAAAAATGCTGTTTGCGTTTCAGAAAACGACATAGCAAAAGATAGAGCAATGGAAAATTTTTCTGACCACCGCTATAAACATTGCAAAGTGTTTATAGCGGTGGTCAGAAAATGTACTGCAAAGTAGTATCCAAATAGATCAAAAGGTCCGCATTGTAATTTAAATGATATTATGGTTATTCTTTATATATAAATGGATTTGCAGAGATGAGGAAGGGAGTTTTAAAATTTGTCGACGGATATGTGATGAACTTGACGCTCCTAGTCACTGTACAGCCGATTATGAGATCATCCGCGAAGTTTGCCATGCGGTGTCTCAGAGATCTGCTGCTATTGTTGCTGCTGGTTTGATATTGCTTTCTCATGTTCTCTGTTAGAAATTTGCATTCTCAGATGAATTTGTGAGATTTTTGTGGATATGTATATGCTTACGATCAAAATAATAGCTAATTCTAAGACATTCTCATTCGATAGCCAGTCTTCTCCCAGTGAAGAGAGTTGGAAGTACTGCCAATAAACCGAAAAACGAATACAATGTTTTCTTAAAAACAAAAAAAAAGATATAGTTTAGAAGAATAATGTCACCAAAGAATACATTTTCATATGAATAACTTTTCAGCGATATCAGCGTTATTGCGCCATATTGGTCAAAGTAACATAAAAGTAGGAGTAGGTGGCGCATTGGTACAGTTTCATCCGACCTATCTCTCATTGCTGGAAAATAAATTGCATGATCTAGCTCCAGCAAATATCAAGGCTTGTTTTACTTGCAAATTTTCGCTTTATCTTTATCAATTAATTTTAAAAACATCGTTGGATAAAGAGCATATTTCGTTGCACGCAGATATCATGCAGGATTGCTTCATTGTTACATTTGTATTATAATTTCAATACTGTTTCAGTGGGAGTTGTTACCAGCGGATGAGGGTAGCGCTAAAGGTGCTGCAATGGTTGCCGCAGTAGCTGAAAAAATGGCACTTTGAGCTGAAGAGTACCGATACTTTGAAGGAGCTATGGAGCATAACTTACTAATATACTTCTTATATACTTTCCTAATATACTCAGTATCGTTATCTAATTAATTTATCCCATTTTTTTTTCATAACTCTGTTTGTACCGTTTTAGGCTTCATATGTGCAGTAATAGAGTTGTCTGGTCATTTTTTTTTTGAATTAGGGGTGTGAAGTGAGCTTCCCAAGTAATATTTTCAGAATTTTATGTAGTCTGAGTTTCACAGTAGTAGCTTGCCAATGCTCATTTAATAAGCTTGTTATTGTACACTGTCATCGTAGGAAAAAAAAACGATATATATTTTTTTGAATTATTTTACTTCACTGTGCCATATAACGTGAGGTATTATGTTATTCAAAAGATTCGATTTATTCTTAAATAGCTGTAAATTGAAAATACCGATGAAATTTGAAAAGATGTCATTTGGATTAAAATGCTGGCACAATTTTTTTGCTTTGGCTCAAGTTTTCGATGTTCTCATCCTGAAGTTTTTGGTCCATTTTCTTCTGTAGGCACGTTCAAGTTAATAATGCAAAGCTCCTATTCTAAGCGATTTTAATTACTTTTGACTCTATGATAAGCTATTTCAATCACTACTGCTGTAAGCCTTTATGCACGTGTATGTAAAGGTATATTCTATCCAAAGGCAGCTGTATGTTATGAATTGTTTATAAGAGTCGCTATTTTAATTCATGGCACTACTGTCATCGTTTACGCTATATTTTATAGTCATATACTGGCATCCTACAAATATCTCCTGACTTCTACGATCAGTTTGTTTTCTGGATTTTCGAGGCATATTAGTCTCTTATTGTCATGTTAGTTTAAGAAGATTTATTTCGCACAAAATTTTTGTTTAGATTAGGGTGCTATTCAACATATTTATATTGCTTTGCAACAAATTGATTTGTGAATACGTCTTCGATTTTTTGTTAACTGTTGTATATTTGCCCCCGTTGTTTATTCTTATTGTATCTGTGATTGTAGTAGCAACAGAAAGCAGATGGCGGGTGGATGAGCAACATGCGGATTGAAATATTTCATATTTTTTTATTTTTATCTAAAGCTTTCCGGATTCGTTTGTCCGCCAGATGTTTTAGCTTTGCATCCTGAAAAAATTGTTCTTTTTTCTTTTTAATTTCTATTAGGGAAGTAGGATAATATGAATTCGACACATACCACCACTAACTGTTAACGCCTATAATTTTTACTCATTATTTGATTCAAATTTTAAAAAACACGGTAAGTGTTGGTATGTAGAAGAATCCTACATTGTTTCTTGTTTGTTTTGTGTTAAGTTGTGAATGTGTTATGTGCTTCATTGACTAAGTGGCAGTAATAATAAAATAAGTTCCTAGATTGCATAATTGCATACAAAGTTGTATGAATTCCGGTTTGAAATTATTCTGTATACCTAGAAATCTGTATACCATAGTAAATCTCTACATTTATTCTGATTTTATATTAATAATCTGATTAACCATAATCCTCAAGTCGCCATTACTTCCTGATGCTAACATAGACACACACATACACACACACACACATCGTGAATGGTAATATATGTATGCCCCTGTAAGTCCTTTACCCCTTGTTATACAAATAGTTTATATATAGAGGTGGGATGTAAAATTTCAGTAATGTTTTGCGATTTAGACTGATCAGGAATCTAATGTCACCTAGTAATTTTTTCCTCACATCATGTTTGTTCAAGCATCCTGAACACCATCTTGCCTTGCATTCTCAAACAATTAACCAGATGTTCAATGTAAATTAAATTATTGCTATAGTGTTTGTTACGTTAAAAAGGATATTTACATTGTAAAGGGGAAGAGAGAGAGAGAGAGAGAGAAGGAGAGGAAAAAAGTTCATTTGTTTTGTTTCTAAATCTGGTTAAGTAACATCGGCAACAAACAGCAACAACAACCACAATTTCATATCAATCAGGAAGAAAGCAGAACAGATTGCGGCCATATGTACAAATTATTTGGATTAATAGTTAGTTCCCTTGCAAATAATATATCAGTTCAATGTCCAATGTAACCAATTTTCATATTAAATTCCTAAAAGAAAGAAATATAACTTTAAAAGAAGGATTTTCCGCTTTCACTCTTCTTCCTTCCATTCATCATCATTCACTCCCTTTAACTCTTCTTATCCGTTCCTTTATTCCCACTTCTTACGGCGAACAACATTCCGAGTTTTTTACCCCTCTACCGTATCACGTATCACAAAAACTTCTATATTGGGGATGTGACAGCAGAAAAAAAAGAATATCGCTTCCAAAAAAAAAGAAAACTACCGATTACTGAACCTATATTAGACAGACACTCTTTGTTTAAATCATTATCTCTCAACTTTCATTCTACAGTTGTTTGGGATATTTTTAAATAAAGACAATAATAGCTCTCATGAAACTCAATAAATGCTATAGTAAATATTCCATAAATTATAATGAAGATGAAATGATAAAATTTTGAGACATATCATATCATATCATTAACTATCATTTGACGGTATTTTTAAGTTTTCGACTTTTATCATTTTTCTTTTTTGATTGAAAAATTTTATATGGGATAATTATTCATGAAGTTGCATTGATGATATGAAATTAAATAATAAGTTCATTTATTGATCAATGATATTATTAATCAGATGAAAAGGGAACAGATAGCAAAAGAAGTAATCATTTATATGAGCTGATAATTTTTTAGATAAACTTTTAAATCCTCTTTCTGCTTGTGATAGATTAGTGAAAAATATTCTTGAAAATCTATAATACATTGAAAAATATGCAATCCAATTTTATTATGATTTAAAAGAGCTACAAATTTTATGATAACATCTTATCAAATAGGAATGATGAACATACTGATACGGTTAATTTTCATCTCAATTATCTCAATTCTAAAATTTAATGTTTCATTCGAAAGAATTAAAATACATAGCTAAAAAGACACATTTATATTATTTGTAAAAATTTACTTAAATTATTATTATTATTATTTATGAATTAAAATAATCATTAACAAATGCGCTTTTTTTTGACATCAAAATGAGTTAATTCTTTTTTTTGAAATACATTTAATTAATAAAATGAATAAGATCAGTAATATTTCTTCTATATTACAAATTGCTACAACTAATTAAACTATCACTCAAATAAACCATTTGGATTAATTAAAATTATTATATGATATGATATGATATGCTGTCATAAAATAAGAAAAAAAGAAATGTCAATGGTAGAAATATTAGATAATATATAGTATGTGAAAGAATATAATGTGTGGTTTATTTAACATGATAATGCTAAATTTGTCATTTGTTCCACTTTGTTGATGAATGAACAAAGAAATGAAGGAGTAAGATTGGAAGATTTATATTCTATTGCAGTGTTACGATACAAAACTTTATACATATCGCCAATGATCGTAGCTTGCAAATCATCACAATCTGACAGTTGTAAGCTACAATACCTTCTACTATCATCCTATATTGGCTTTTTTCTTCTTTCTTTTTTTTCCCACATTCTCTGCTAATGAAAAAGAATCATTCCTTAAATTTGTTGATATTCGTCTTTCTCAACTATCTAATCAGGAAATTAAGAGGGATTGAATCTTCTTTTTTCCCCTCTGAAACCAACACTAAAATTATTTTCATCTTTCTTCATCTTCTTTTTCTTTGCTCACAATTTATTATTATTTATCGATACAGTTAATTAGTTATTGGAACTTAAATTTATGTCGCAATTCAACGTTTGTAAAAAATTTTCAACTTTTTCTTTCATCCTAATTATTCTTTTTTTTTTTTTTAGTTTAAAATGTTTTTCTTATTTCTCAATCATTTTTATAAATCATTTCGAAAATAATTTCTTTACTCAATCTGTTGCAAATGATTTTTTGATTACAATTTCTGAACTCATCTTTTGCAAGAAATTCACGATAATCAAAAATAATGAATTTTCAGTTTTGCTAATATTTAACAAGGTATTGTTAATAAGTTTAAAATTCTCAAATATATCCTATCATTTGATTACTTACGTTTTGTATTATATTATATTACGTATAATTTTGAATAGCCTTATATATATATATATATTTGAAATACTGTATTCTTGCATAGATTATCCTATCATTTGGTTGCTTACGTTTTAGAAGAATAATTTTGAACAGCCTTATATATACATATTTTTTTCAAATGCTGTATATTCTTGCATTGATAAATTTAATCAAAACTTTATTTATAAAAGTAAATGGAAAAAAATTATATAGATTAAAAATTATATAAGTTAATATAGATTTTCGTAAAATATATAAATCATATTTCACATAAAAAAAAATCATATCATTTCTGTTTCATATAAAAATTGATAAATTTATCATCAATTCATCATAACGACTATTATTTAATTTTAATTGAATGAATGGAATGAATGCTTTAAGTACCAATTATTATAATAACAAAAAAAGTTTGTTAAAAAACTTCAAAAATTAAGCTTTTCTACGAAATCATACAAAACATTATAAAATTTCATTTTTCTTCCTTCACTCCTACATTTCAACAATAATTGAAAACACTGTAACAGAAATTGAAGATCGTTATTTCTAATGGATTGTAAGAAAAATGAATTATCATCAAATTAATGATGATGAAATATTGAAGAGAGGGAAGAAAAAGAAGTGAGAAATAGTTATTTATGGCTATAACAAAGAATTTAACTAATAATTAAAAATATTTCAAATTTGAAATGATCTTTCGATGGGATTTATTATTTTCACTTATGTAAATTTAATTGAATTCAATAGGAAAATGAAGATTATTGAAAGACATTGATGAGATTTGAAAGTTAGAGAAAGAAGTTTGTTTCATTCTGCTGATTGGAAAAATATTCATTTCGTTCAATTTCAATAATCCAACAAATAATGATCGCTTACTGATGAGATGATAGGATTGGGAGAAGATTGGGGGG